CTAGAATAACCTAAAATTATATTAATTATTATTTTTTAACAGGCGTACAAAACTATCAACATGGGTTGTGGTGCACTGGTGGGAGTTCTTCACCCTTAACCAGAGGTCTCGGGTTTGAGCCCTGGGTATGGAGAAAATCTTGTTAGGAGTGCCACCTCCGAATGGGCCCTGCAAAGCACGATCCGGATTTAGTCAGAGCTCCAATGTGGGCTTCGGACACTAAATGAGAAACCAAAAAAACAGGCGTACAAAACTCAAAATGAATAAATAAAAATGAACGGACGATATGTTATAAAGTACAATTGATTGATAAATCTAACTAAGAGTTAATATCTTCACATACATGCAATGCAGTGTTGTAAAGTACAATTGATCAACTACCTTTTTTACAATTTTGAAATTCACGCCATAGGTTAGTCCATTGTACGTAATGTAGCATAAACTTGACATAGAAAGGTTATAATTGCAAAGATTTTTTGTTAGAATTCCTTCAATTACTTTGTCCTTATTTATTATAGGTAACTTTTTTTGGAATTTTCTGATCTTCATATAATCCCAGCACTTCATATATTCTCTTAATGGGGGATTTTTAAAATACCACTATTTAGTATCGAATGAAATTACGTGAATATAATATCTGATTTTAACTATATATAGTAAAAATTACATGTATGTAAAGACATATGATATGTATAGCCAACTTGATCCATTGTATATTTGTTTTCAAACTATATGTGAGATCAACAGTATGTGAAAAATATGTAAAATATATGTGGAGTGTATATTTGTTGTAAAAATATATAACGTCCTTATGTTTTGTAATTTTTTTAATAGTACCATTATAAAGAGTAATAGAAGGACTCTAAATCGTTGCATCGAGTAGTTTTTATATCTTTTTTAACTTGGTGTTTGGTATCAATATTTGATTTTGAATAATTTAAATTCAAAACTTTTTAAAATATTTATTGTAATCCCATTTAATAGAAATATTCCCTCCGTTTCTTAAAAGAATTTACCTTAAACCTTCAAGTGAATTTGGATATACATTTCTTATTATTTTTAAATATAAATAGTATCTAGAAATTACAAAAAAAACACTTTATTTAATTTATTATATTTAAAATTACTTTAAATTCTTCTTGTTGTCAACCTTTTTTGATGATTGTTTTTTTTTTAAAATAAAAAATACAAGGTAAATTTCTCGATGTTGACATTATCAAGAGGACGTAAATATTGAAAAGTCTTTCAAGAAAGGAAACATTTTTATTTAATCAATAGAAAGAAAAGAAAAAGTATATATAATTTTTTTATAGTAAAATAATCATTAATTTTATCCTGAACTTCTAAAATAATAAATAATTTGAGATATTTAATTTTAAAAATTAAGAAAATAATTTGAAATGAAATAGGTAATTACCAAGATGACACAAGAAATTTAGTTGGTTGGATAACCCTTTCCCCATCCGACCCACTAAAAGTTGTCCCGACTCGATCCAATCTCGAACCTAACAAAGACACAATTTAGTTTAGTGGGTCGAGTCGGGCCAAACCGGTCCCTGTTGCCGGTCTTAATTGAAGGTCTCTTTACTATCTTTATCGAATTATGTGGTCAAAACTTAAAAGAAGTTAAATGAATCCACGTATTTGAAATATAGCCATCATTTAAGTAAGGTGAAAAAAGGAAAAGTCATTTATGCCAATTGTGTACTTTTGAAACATAATGACATGTTTTTCTCATATATTATTGAAAAAAATTATATAGTTTTCTTTGTTTTTAGGTTTAAATAAGTTTTTTTGTGAAATTTTGGTTCAGTAGGTTAAAGTTGGCTTACGTTTGGATATGTGATATATAGTTATGATTTTAAATTAGCATTTGAAAATGTAATTTAGGATCGTGATAGAAACTTAGAGTTTAGAAATGCGATTTGGGATCATAATTCAAATTTCAAATTCAACAAAAAAAAATATGATTTCGAATCGTGAATTTAATTTATATATTTTTTTAATGTAAAACTTGATCCATAAGTTTATATTTTGTAAGAAAGACCTATCATTTTGAAACTCTACAAAAAATAAAAATAAAAACTCATGCTCCACTGAAGAGATTGATTGTACCACGTGAAAGATTATATAAAAGAATAATTCGTTACTACTCTTATTGATTAATGAATCTCTATAAAAATGTGTGTATTTTGATAAATTATTAAGTAATTAAACGAGTTATAAGATAACAAACAAACAAATCAAATATAGAAGTTGATTCGATATAATTTGTGATTCATTGTTTAGTTCATCTTAACCCAAAAACATCTTTAAAAAATTACTACAGTGGATATGTTAACAACCTGTAGTAAAGATTACTAAGTATCATCATCAAAATGCAATCGTTAAAGAGAGCTTAAAAAAAATCTCAATAAACACAACTATTGAAAATAATCTATATAGAATTTGTGCACGGGTTGTAGATTGGGAGAACTCAATTTAGTTAACTAAAAATCAGTAGCATATTGAATTTAATTTTTTAATATATAAAATATCTCGACCAAACTAACTCGAATTCACGTCAAATAAACACATTAAAAGAGTTAAATGTTCCAAAGTTTTCCCTAGGGTCACACTCACACACATACATAAATATAAATAGATTAACACCAACATAACAACAATATTACTATTTAGTAGGTACAACTAATTTAATAAACCAAATTTGGAGGTTAATTATGTCAATTTATAGTTAGTTAACTTCAGTCAAAAAATAAAATTAGTGTCCCACATGGTTTAGTCAATCTAACCCAACATTTTAATATTCTCAACCTAATTAATTAATCACAGCATTTGCCTTGCTTTAAGAGTACTATTGACTTCCCATATTTCCAACTATCACAATAATCACATTAAATTAATCCAACTTCAACTTATCAAATTGATCAAGTAAATCCAAGAGAATAAATCAATTAATTTTTTAATCCATTAAATAAATAATGAAAATGACAATACTATTTTCCTAGTATTATTTTATTTAATACCATAATAATTGAAAATAACAAAAAGAAGAAAAAAAAAGTGAACAGCTGGCTTTAAGATCTTTGTTGTTTTGCTGGCTTCTGAAGATACAGCAGAGTTTCTTCAGATCCGAAGAAAATGGTCAGAAAAATAAAATTTTATTCAACCAACCAAAAACCATAAAAATATACTTATCAATTATCAAGAAACCTAAAAAAAATAACAAAAAAAAAATCATCACATGTGGATGAAACTGTATTTTCCTTAACACTCAATTTCGAGTCTCAATATTAAAACAATTCTTGAATAAAAGCTATCCCCGATATAAATTTAAATTATTTGAGCCACAATTTAAATATCGAACATCACAAAAAAAACAACTAAAAAGTATAAAAAAATTTATAGAGAGAATCATTTATCAAAAATGCTAAAAAAATAATTTACTAAGTGATGTACTTCATAAGGCTACTAGTTTTTTAATAAAAAATGTTGAAATGAGGCTATTTCTTTTTTAACTAGAGATTTTGATTTTGAGTGGTGAATATAATATATTTTTGATAAAAAGAGTGACACCGGATTAGGGGTGTGCACTATTCGGATTAAATCGAATAACCAAATCAAATCAAACCGAATTTTTATTTGGATTGGTTTTTTGGTTTTTCGGATTGATTTTGAATTAATAAATTACTTTGTTTGGTTTTTTGGTTTGGTTTCAGATTTTAAAAATAAAAACCGAAAAAAACCGAATTATATGTATATATATATATATATATATATATATATATATGTTTAGGCTTAGAATTAAGTTGGAGTTAATCACTTTTGTCCCTTTTTGGTTATTGTCTTTCATGATGATTACGTTTATATTTTATGCTTGAATTACATCTCTAATAGGTATACTTATAAGTATTGTGTTTTAAGTTTTACTTATGATTTATATTAGAAAGTATATTTAAGGGATTAAATATTATTACTTTGGCTATGTATGTTATTAATTATTGACATAACCGAATAACCAAATCGAAAAAAGCCGAACCGAATAGAGGAAAATCAAACCAAACCAAATTTATTTTGAATCAGATTGGATTACACTTTTACAAAACCAAAAACCAAAAAACCAAATGCACACCCCTACACCGAATAGACTCTATCCGTAAATAATGATTCTAATTTAATTAGACTTCCAATTGAGAGATCGAATAGGTAAATAGTGAAAGTTAAAAACAGAGCAAGAGAGAGAGAAATAGACAAGTTTTTTACATGGGCACACACACACATGTGTGGACATAGAGTGCATAGAGGAGTCATCATATATATGTATACATCTTTTTCTTTTTGTATGATACAAACAGAGAACTCTCTCTTTCTCTTTTGTGTGAGAAATATATATATATTTGTGTGTATTTTGAGACAAAAACATGACAAAGAGTATTGTTAGCGAAAGCCCACTCTAAACCAGTTTTTCACTTTCCACCAATTTTGATGATTTGTTAGGGTTTTCTTGGTTTTTTTTCCTGTCTTTTTTCTTGTTTCTTGTTTCTGTCTGGTGAATTGTGAAGTGGGGTTCTGTTATTTTGTTGTGGGTGTGGCAAAAACAGTGTAAAGGTGGAATCTTTTGGTTTCTTGGAGCAAATTTTGAGTGTTTCTTGATTTTGAGAAAAAAAGATTGGATTTTTTGCTTGATTTTGAGCTCAAAGTGAGTCAAGGTTGTTGGAGACCTCAGTTATTTTGTGTTTAATGGATGATTAGGAGGGAATTTTATGTTTTGAAGCGGTCAAATTGAAGAAAATGAGGGGTTTTGGGTTGAATCTTGTAAAATTGTTCTAATTTGGTGGTAATTCAGCAAATTCTCTTGAGTATTATGTACTTATAATTGGTGTTTCTGGAGATAGATTTCTTTGTTGAACAGATATAAAAAAGGTATGGACTTTTGAAACTTCTTTGAGTTGAATTTATTGTGATTTACTTTGTTTTTTGCTAATTGGTACAATTAATATGCTTAAAGAATATTTGTTTCTTTTTATTTGATGACAGCATTTCTATTCCTAATGGGAAAGTAAGTATTTATGAGGTGAAAGACTTGTTGGTTCTTGAATTGATTGTCATATTAGTAAGATTTTGTTGACATCAAGATGATTACATTTATGGATCCAAAGGACAAAGTGAAGGAAATAGAAAAGTGTTTAGATTCTCAACTATGGCATGCTTGTGCTGGTAGTATGGTACAAATGCCTTCAATTAGTTCAAAAGTTTTCTACTTTCCTCAAGGACACTCAGAGCATGCCTCTGGAAATGTTGATTTTAGGAGCTCCATTAGGATTCCGTCGTATATTCCTTGTAAAGTCTCCGCAATTAAGTATATGGCAGATCCTGAGACTGATGAGGTTTTTGCCAAAATTAGGTTGATTCCTGTTGGTAGGAATGAGGTTGAATTTGATGATGATGGGGTTGTTGGGATGAATGGTTCGGATAACCAAGATAAGCCTAGTTCATTTGCTAAGACGTTAACGCAATCAGATGCGAATAATGGTGGAGGTTTCTCTGTCCCAAGGTATTGTGCAGAGACGATCTTTCCTCGTCTGGATTACTCTGCGGATCCTCCTGTTCAGACCATCCTTGCTAAGGATGTTCATGGGGAGACGTGGAAATTCAGGCATATTTATAGAGGGACGCCAAGGCGCCATCTGTTGACGACTGGATGGAGTACTTTTGTGAACCATAAAAAGCTCGTCGCGGGTGATTCCATTGTGTTCTTGAGGGCTGAAAACGGGGACCTTTGTGTAGGCATTCGGAGGGCAAAGAGGGGAATTGGAGGTGGACCTGAGACTTCTTCTGGATGGAATCCGGCTGGAGGGAATTGTATGGTACCATACGGAGGGTTTTCCAGTTTTCTTAGGGAAGATGAGAATAAATTAATGAGAAATGGGAATGGGAATAATGGTGGGAACTTGATGAACAAGGGAAAAGTGAAGGCAGAATCAGTTGTTGAAGCTGCAAATCTTGCAGCCAGTGGACAGCCATTTGAGGTGATCTACTACCCTCGTGCTAGTACTCCGGAGTTCTGCGTGAAGTCATCGCTTGTAAAGTCAGCATTGCAGATCCGTTGGTGCTCGGGGATGAGGTTCAAGATGCCTTTTGAAACTGAAGATTCTTCACGGATAAGTTGGTTCATGGGAACTATATCTTCAGTTCAGGTCTCCGATCCCGTTCGATGGCCAGATTCACCGTGGAGGCTTCTTCAGGTAATACCATCTTTATTTAGTGCATCCCCATTGTGATCTGTCATATATGATCCTGATGTAAGCACACATACTCGGTCACATAATGTTTCTCACATTTTGTGCTGATTGTTCCCCACAGATTCGTTTTTTGTTTTGATTAAAAAAGAAAAACAAATATCATTTCATTAATAACATAGTGTTGCACTCGTTATGTTATACACATATACTCATAGGAAGTGATTCAGATTGGTATACCAAAAAGGAAAAGAACTCCTAATCTGTAGAAAAGATAAAGTATTTAAATTTGTTTTTAGAGAAAAAAAGAATCAGGGACTTTTAATTTTCTGTAACACGATGTTTGATGATTTTCACAATCTCGTGAAGTTGGAGAGTTTTGATACCTGTATTTGAACTCAATGAACAATACTTGGAGTTGTAGCTTTTATTTCCCAAACAGAGGGTTGAATTATTACATAGTGTGTCCTGTTTCTTTACTTACAAAAGAAAGGGACAGAATCCGACAATCAATCAATTCTTGCTTAATTTAGTATGATCCTGACTTAAATTGTGATGAATTGCTGTAGGTGACGTGGGACGAACCTGATCTGCTCCAAAACGTAAAACGTGTCAGCCCATGGCTTGTGGAATTAGTCTCAAACATGCCTACCATTCATCTTTCTCCCTTTTCGCCCCCACGAAAGAAACTAAGATTACCTCAACATCCAGATTTTCCTCTCGATGGCCACCTTCCTATGCCGGCTTTCTCCGGCAACCACCTTCTAGGGCCTAATAGCCCCTTTGGTTGTCTTCCCGACAACACCCCTGCTGGCATGCAGGGAGCCAGGCATGCTCAATATGGTTTATCATTATCAGATCTCCATTTCAATAAGTTGCATTCTAGTTTGTTTCCGGTTGGTTTTCCACCACTTGATCAGGCTGCAGCAGCACCTCGTAGACCCCTGAATATTCCAATGATCAGCAAGCCATGCAACAATGAGAATATATCTTGCTTGCTAACCATGGGAAATTCTGCTCACTCTACGAAGAAATCTGATATTGGGAAAGCACCACAACTCGTGCTTTTTGGTCAACCTATACTTACTGAGCAGCAGATCTCTCTTAGCTGCTCGGGAGATACTGTTTCTACTGTTCGTACAGGGAATAGTTCCTCTGATGGAAATGCTGATAAAATCGGGAACGTGTCCGATGGTTCAGGTTCTGCACTCAATCAACGTGGATTAACAGAACGCTCACCATGCGACACATTTCAATCTGAGCCTAATACCGAGATTGGACACTGTAAGGTTTTTATGGAATCAGAAGATGTAGGTCGCACTCTGGATCTTTCATTGCTAGGATCTTACGAAGAGTTATGCAGGAAATTGGCAAATATGTTCGGTATTGACAACTCGGAGATGCTTAATCACGTACTTTACCGGGATACCACTGGCTCGGTCAAGCAACTTGGTGATGAACCATATAGGTATGTTTTCAAAAAATTTCCCATGTTTTCCAACATACTCCATTATCTGTTTATTCATATAATGAAATATTTCACATTGCTTTCGTAGTAAGGAAGTGTTTCTTTCCTCTATTTTGCAGCGACTTCATGAAAACAGCGCGAAGGTTAACAATTCTAACTGATTCAAGCAGTGACAATGTAGGAATCAGGGAATAGAGAGAACAAGTAAATCTCCACTTTCCTTTTTTCGAACTGTATAGCTGGATGATCGAGTGCTTTGTTCCTAACATCTCAACTCTTTCGGACATGCTGACGATGATGATGTTCAATTTACCTAGTTCATGAGTGGAAAAGTTTGCGTTTTGCATCAACGTTTCAGTATATTTACTAGTAGTTTTCACTTTTCTTGGGATCGTTTCCGAGTTTTTGTTTCAAGACAATACCTACAAAGAACAAGATAGAACTTGTTTTTTGTAGGCTTTGTCTGCTAATTCTAGTACTCCATTTGTTAATTAAAGGCCTTCTAAGAAGGCTTAAAAGACTTGTTCTAGTTTCTGTTTTCTATATATCTAATCAGTATATAGTTTAAAAGTTTTTTTCTTGTTTTATTGATGATTTAGTATTCTAGCGGCGAATGCACGCACATCTATTGTCTTCAGCTCGAACTATATGTATATATAAATGGGATTTTTTGTTCACATACGCATATACAAAGTCAAACATTCATTGTCACTGACTTCAAATTCTTGATCTGTCTCTGCCTCATAACATCTCCAAAGTCAAAAGAGTGGAAAGGAACACATTTGATTGCAGAAAAGGCATAGATAAGCACATATAGAGCCTATTAATTGGTCATTTTGAACGACTCGATGAATTAAGTTGATCATTCCAGAAGGCCTTAATGATTATAGATCGAACATATTCAACTTTTATTGTACGAGTATGATGGTTGTTCACGGCCTAACTACACCTATCACATCATAAAAAATATCATCGTGTTTATGTAGGATTTGAGGAAAATCATATTCTAAAAGGGGTGTGATATAGACGACTTACGAAATTCTAAATATATGGAAGACCTGCACAAAGGTGTTGGTCGGAATATGGGAAAATATATTTGTCAACATCATTATTGGATCAAAGGATATTATATTTAGAAATTAGAAAGTATATATCTTTAAAAGGATTCTAGATATTTTGCGTACACGATTATGTTATCTTTAAAAAGATTTTGTTTTTTTCTTTAAATTGGACTTATTATTAATCTTGATAATGATTAAGTATATGTCTAATCAAATAATTGACAAAAATTATTAGTACTAAATCAACAAGCAAACCTCCCTCCACCTATTACCTCAAATCTTGAGTTTGAATCCTAATCGAGTTTAAATATAAGTATCAAACGTTCGGCGAAAAAATAATAAAATGCCATGTGTACACGACATAATCTGCAGTCCCTAAAAGAGCAGAAGTCACATGGTAGACCAAAAACATTTGAAAACAAGATACCCTAAAACAAAGTCCTACATTAAATACTGCTATTTTGTTGCCGCAAGAATTGGGAATTTTTTAAAAATTAATTAAATGTTTGTTTACGTGATTAGTATTGGGATTGAGGCAATTAAATATTAATTAAATTTAATGAAACATTGACCTTAATTTCAGCAACAAACAGCAAACACAAAGTCAAAGATAGAGTTACGCAAAGACAACATCAGCAACACCAACAACAAATGACTTTTATTTCTTTCTTTTTAAAAAAAAAAAAAACCTTGAGGCGGTTTTCAAATGGTTAAAATCAGAATTCGAAATTTATGAATTTTCATTATATCAAAATAAATAATAATAATTGATACTTTAATTATTAGCTACTCACACATAAAATTTGGATAAAAATGAAACTATTGAATTCACGTGAATCTGTACTAGAGGTGATAACAAAAGTGAAATCAGAATTTTAACTATTTCAAATATTAATAACTGTGTTCTAAACTTAATATCTATACGTATTCAATAAAACTTCTTAACACACCAAGCAAAAATTACTGAACTTGACCAAATCTATTTTCGAACTTTTAGCTCCGCCCCAATGAGACACACGTGTGAAGAGTGAAGACACGTGTAAGTCAAATAAAGGAGGTTGATTGGTCAAAGAGTAAATAGGGTTCACGTGTGGCCAACGTAAGCAAGAGTAGATTTTTGCATGGGTTGCGCCGTTTTGAAGACCACGCTGTTTCTTTCTTTGAATTTTTTTTTATTGTGTACTTAAATGGTAAATCGAAATAAATCGTAATTCATATGTTTAAATAAAATTTATAAAGTTATCGATTTATCGATATGTTAGAGCCAAATAAATAAGATTCCCTATATCCTACGCCAGGGAAGGGTACCCATAAAAATTGATTTAGTTATACCTTCTAAATGCTGTAGTCTTAACTACTCCGATTCTTCCGGAATATCATATGTAAATTTTATAATATAGTATTTAAAGTGTTTGTTTATTTGATTTAAATATTGGAAAAATATTTGTGTTTGTGCTATAGATATGACATGTACATAGATAGATATCATACATGATGGTCATCATGTACATGCATTGTATGATAATAACAATAATCAGGGGCGGCTCTAATAAATTAGTGGCCTAAAGCCAAATTCGAATGGAGGCCTCAATTCGAATATAATTTCTTTTTGAAGTTTATTATAGTCAATTATCTAATCTTTCTTGAGACATAATATTCATAATTTGTCGAACTTCTATTACTTCTTTACTTTTTTATGAAAAGTTTTTATTTTCTATAAGTAATACTCGATATTTTTTTAAAAAAATACTTTTAACCTATTATTTTTTTAAAAAAAAATGAGGAGGGCTCTCAAATTTTGGGCCTAAGGCAATTGCTTTTTTTCAAAGCTGTAGAGCCGCCCTTGACAATTATCATGGTTTAGTATTTGCACTAAAATACAATTAAACTAAAATTTGAGGATCGTTGAGTTATTTTTGAAGAGACAGTCTCAAATAAAATATGTTTCATTTTTAAGGGTTCAAAAATTGAGACATCTGATTTAGGATAGAGGAAATTGCAATCATCCTATCATAATATCATAATTTATATTGATTGGTGTGCTTTAATGAAGATTGAAAATATGAACAAGTAATTTTTTGAGTTTTAAAATATTATTTTAAGAAGATTGAAATAGTTGTTTAATTCTATAACTATATTTGCATTTTGTTTCATATAATAAAATGCAATAATTTTTTCCCTAAATATCTTTTTGTTTCCTTTCTGTGTATGTACGGGTTACGTGTGTGACTAAATATGTAGTTTTTGACAAAATAAATTGTACACTAGCTTGTCCCAATATATAGAGTCATAGACTGAAGAACTACAAATAATTAAAATTCAACATAAAAATATATATGTACATTTGATTTATTTTGTGGTGCAAAAAAGTGCACACACTTAAAACATACGTATATACGAGTATAATTATACACAAGTTGGGATCCATTAATTTCAAGCCATTGACTCAGTATGTGTAAACCTTTTACTGACAAAGATCCATTTTATGAGCTTAATTTAATTATAGAAAAGAGAAGACTTTTATAATAAGCTTCTTAATTTCCACTCCTAAAGCCTAATCAGATCCTAATTAAGCCATAGTACTACTTAGCATTAATAACATTAATTAAGTAAAAGAGTTATTCACGTCCCAAATTATATGTCGTGATTTCTTAATAGTTATCTTAAAGTAATATAAATTATTATTATTTTCATTTTATGGATTACGCTTAGTAAAATTTGTTATTAAATACTATAAACAGTTCAATTATGGGATAATGACAGTAAATATTCAATGAAGGGATAATATATCTTCAAACATAAATAAGGATAACATAGTCAAAACTGTTCCTAGTTACTCCTTCCGTTTCATTTAAATTGACTTCTATACTAAAAATATAGTGTACATAGTTTTTTTTTTTCCTCATACAACTATTTGTATTAAAATAATATTAGTCAAATTTAGAGGTTTTAAAACATCATTAATAAAATGAACTTAGTAAAATACACTCTTAATAAAAACTCTCTTAAAAATTGTGTTAAGTTAATATAAATTATATTTTCTTTTAAGACGTATAAGAAAAATACGACAGATAATTTGTGACGAACCGAACGAAAGAACCGACAGAGACACTTTACTTGGAGTGAAAATAGTCACCGACAGATTTCACAACACAAAATAAAAACAAAAGAATAGACAAGATCATAAGTAGTTTTGAGTTGGATCACGTGAATGTACAACCACGTTTGATCAACGTTGTCTTTAATCCTTTTTATATGTTAGCCATATGAGTCAATTTGTTGAGAGAGACGAATTTAGAATTTAAATTTTTATGAATTATAAAATTTAAAATGATAATATCAAGTTTTAATAAGTGTATACGGAATAAAGAATGTGGTATGTTTTGATAAATTTACATATAATGATTTGAGGCAAAATTATCATGTTTCAACTAAATCGTATTCTATCAAATTGAATATGAAAATTTTGTTTTTAATGATTGATACTTTTGAATATCTCAAAATTCATGTCCAAATAAAAAGTATTTCTCCATATAATCCAAGATTCAAATTGCAATTCAATTCAAATATTTAAAAAGCACAAAATAAGGGTGTGTGTTTTCCTTTTTTCTGCTGGTTAAAAATTCTGAAAAATATTTTTTCTCGTAGAAAAACCAAGTCCTTGAAAAAACTTTTAAGAAAAATGACTTACATAATAAAAGTAGAAAAAACAAGTTAGAGTATGTTCTCCTCGCTCTCTCTTGCACCCCCATCGCATCCGCATATATAAATATTTTTAAAATAATATTTTTACTTACATATCCTACACAAACGGATTAGTAAAAAATCACTTATTTTTCACAAAAATATTTTCATATAAAACCCACCCAAAAAGAGAAATTAAAAATAGGGGACATGTAACACTTTCCAAGGCCTTTTCAAAATGTAAGTATTTATTTGGAGCAAACATTTAATTAATTACTCTGTTTTCAGCACCCCAGGAATTGATCTCCATAATATCTGCACCATGTTTAATTTCTCTGATTCTCTCCATTTATGAGATAAAAGTCTACACCAAAAATGCCACTATCAATTTAATCTTAATTAATTCCACTTTCTACAAGTTGTACTTACTAGGTTAAAATTTGATATGTTAGATATATCTTCTTCTTAATGATTGTGGTGTCTCGATCAGTTTTAATTTTTAGTGTACATAGTAGGTATTTAAATTTATATAAAGTACTTCCTCTGTATCTAATTACTTGTCCACTTTTGAATTGACACACATATTAAGAAAATAATGATTGACATAGTGAGTTTACCATTTTACCCCTATTAATTATGAAGTAGATCGATGAATTAAAAACTTAAGAGTTTCAAGAAGCTCTACATTTTTCAAAGTAATTAATTGAGGGTATAATAGGTAAAATTTTTTTGTCATTTCTTGATTTGTCAAAATGGACAAGTAATTAGGGACAACTAAAAAAGGAAAAGTGGACAAATAATTAGGAACAAAGGGAGTATTATTGAACA